ATGAAGAGTGGGTGTATGTGGGGCAGGGGAGTGGGTCCAGTGTTGGCTTTTGTGGGCCTGCTTATGTTACTTCATGTCAGGCCCATGGCAGTAGCACAGCTTGCTGGCTAAGAGGCACTGTATTTACTCAGAGGAATCTGCAAAGCAGTCTCAGACAGGTGTCTGAAAGGCAACCACGCCATTTGCTTTGAAGTGACCTGGTTTTTGCAGGGATCAACACAAGAAAGGAAATACCTGGAGGGGCTGCTTTGCAAATGCTGTGGGTTACTTTGGTCTGAGCACTTCAGCAAGTATGTGAGGGGAGAGCAGTGCGTGTACTGGTGGGATGAGAAAAACAACACAGCTGAGGGCTGCATCTGCAATTCCCGGGAAGTGCAGTGGAGGAGAGAGCCTGTTTACCACACAGAGCTGCGGTATATGGAAACTTCAAATCTGATCCTGCAGAGCCCTGTCTTCTGAGCTGATGTCCTGCTACATAGTGCTGATCAAGTAGAGGTGGAACTGTGTGCGCTGGGACCTATCGTCTCTCTGGACTAGACTTTTCTATCCAAGGTGGGGAAAAAGGGACAGGGGCACTTTGGGGAAACTTGGCAGGTAACCAGATGCAGCCTATTGGTTGTTCAGGAGCCTTTGCCTGTCCAGAAAGTCTTTGAAGTAGTTGGAAGAGTATGAATACAATCTCTCCAAAATCCCATAATTAGTCCTGCTTCTGGGGCTTTTATTAAAAATACGGGAAAACACACTGAAAAATGACGACTTGCCACATCACCCTTACAATGCTATGCTCTGCAATGGGTCACCCAGCCAGGGAGTTGAAGCTGTGTATGAATGTAGTGGCAATGGTACTGCAGTTACATGCTGCCCTTGGCTCCCAGTGCCTTAGACATGTAGAGAGAACCTCCTTCCCTACCAAAGAGCCCATGCTGCTGATACAGATTTCTTGTTTTTAGTGACTCTTGTGCAGATCCCCATCTCTCCCAGACTAGTCTGTTGGGCTGGTTCTTGCCACACATCATGTCCAGGGTCATACATAAACCATAGCACTTACAAAAACCATCACTCTGCCAGTTCTTACAGGGTGCTGCCTGCTCTGTGCATGATAGCCCATCCAAGCATGCTATGCCACCCCAGATCCTGCAGGCTGCCCCGGTCATGACTTAGTTGCATCTAGTGTGTTTCTGCAACAGGTACAGAATGGGCATAGGGGTTAGTGCAGCTGACCTGGCGTCGGATCTCTTCCAGCACAGCAAGATGTTGGAAGTGGAGGTGCGCTGAATCTGGAGCCACATCACTCACCTGTACCCAGCCCCCAGTGCACAGAGGGACACAGGAGCTTGGTTTGCTGCTTCTTTCTGCCCTTCCTGGCTTGGGGCTGTGCCCCTCACTTCTTTTGCTTTGTAAGAAAAAAAATGCTTCCAACTCCTGAGAACTCAGTAGTCCCTTTGCAGCAGCAGTTCCTGCCATCGGAGAACTGGGCCAGGGCTTCCTGACACAGCTTATTCCAAGCCCGGCAGAGCAGAACGTTTTGGCAGTTATAATGGCGTGCAAGTCAGGGGTTCTTGCCAGTGCATCTCTCACAGTTAGAGACCCCACCTCTTCACATCCCTGAAAGGCCCAGCTGTGCCGGCAAAATCCTGTAGCACAAACCCTGCTTCTTCCTGGTAAGGCAATGGTCCCTAAATGCTGCATTCGGTGAGTGGTGTCTAC